GGGGGGGAGCGAGAAAAGCTGGCGGCGGTGGGAGAGGAGCTGGTGAGGAGGAGGAGAGAGCCAGCCCCATCCCCATCCCCACACAAAGAGCTTCGCTGGGCTCTGCTCCTTTGTCTCGGCTTCCCTGGGTGTGCAAGGCAGGGGATGGAGTTCAAGGCAAGAACAAATTAAAAAGGTTTTTGCAGATTTTGTCCGGCCCCCGCTTTTTTTTTTTTTTTAAATCAGTTACACTTTTTTTTTTTTGCAAAGAAGTAACAAACGCTACTTCTGCTTTTCATTAGAAGCGCCCAACTTACTCTCTCTCATCGCATCAGGGCTCTCCATCAGCCCCAGTGGCGCTCGGGGACTGCAACGGCAGCCTCTGGCAACTCCACACAGACAACAAGGGGGGGGAAAAAAGGCTTAAAAAAGCCGAAGAGCCTTTTAAATGCCTCCTGTAGGAAAATGCACAGTTGTAAGACAGTGACTAATCCCAAAGGAACTTCACCCAGACAGCAAACACCACTAAATTCCTCAGAATGACTTGTAAAATCCCCATTGTATGGTCTAGATGCTTTGGTCTCCCTGGGGCCACCCTTGGAGCCTGCTGGCTGCTGCTTAACTCTTCCCTCTTCCTGCACGAGACCCTTTGCGTTCCAAGAAAATGACATTTCGTGTATAGTCCCACCAGCCTTTCTGTGTGTGGTCCTGCTTTTCACTGGCACCCAGGGAACTCCGCGTTTCCCTGAGTGTCTTGCCCAAAATTTAGTGCCCAGTTGTACCAGTCGGTGGCTCTCCCTGGCACAGAGGTAACCTGACTGCAGGTAAGTGTGCTGGAGTCGTAGAACTTCAGAAAGGAGTGCATAAATGTAAAATATTAGGTTACCTGTGCCTTTATTCCACATCAGGTTTAATAGGTGGAGGTTTCTAGCTGCCAAAGCCCCCTGTGAACCAGTGTTAAAGGGCATGCAACATTCCAAGCTCTAAGCCAAGGGTCATACTTTGGAAATGTGTAAAACACATTTTCCTGCTAAGTATTAAAGCTGTGCCTGCCCCCTATTTGGTGAAAGGTGGATGTGTGTGTGTGTGTGTGTGTGCCTGTGTCACGGAAATGTGTTGATTTTATGAAACCAGGTTTCATAATCCTGCTAATGAAGAGAAAGGTGTAAATGCATTCTTGTCTCTTCATGCAGAGACTACAGAGTCTTTTGCTAACGAACTTGCCAATCTCAGTAACTACCAACCACGCTTCTCTTCCCCTTCCTTTTATTCCAATATGTACACCAGGGACACAACCACATCCAGTGATACTTGCCCAAAATACTGTTTCTGAAGACTCACAAGCCCTGCATTTGGTCTGAAAAGCAAAGGCTGCCGGCACCCAAGCTCTGCTGGGCTGTAAAGTGAGGTTGCTGGCTCTGGAGGGGGCACCTTAAGCACATATTCTTGCATGTGCCATCTGCTGCACAATAAACAAGGAAAAAGCTTATCTAGAAACACAGTCTGCTACCCCGCGTCCACATGGTGCGTGTGGAATAAATCTCAAAAGAGAAACTGCGATTTTTTTGTCTGCCCATTTTTCTTCCTTTTGTTGTTCACAGTGTCTGTGCTTCTGCACCTTCCCCAGCTGACTGTGGCTGCACAGACTGCAGATAGTTTTATCTTTACAAAAAGAATAATGCGTAACTAGCAGGTTTGTGGGTTGTTTTTTCTTTTTTCTTCTCTGCAGTTGTAGTATTCTGAGTAGGACTAGGAATATGACCATTTGTCTCACGGTTTTGCTATGGGAGGAAGCGCTGAGACACGAGCACAATAAAGTTCATTATGCTTCAGGATATGGGACTGGAAGGAAAATAGCCCCAGACTTCCTTCTGTTTTGAAAAACATAGCTCCTGCATTACTCCTAGAATAGGAGAGAAGCTTTAGGAGATAGCATTCCTGCAGGACCTCTGTCCTCAGAAACTTTGGTGCTGCAGATAACCCTCACCTGAGCCTTACAGCGCCCCGATGCCTTGCTTGCTCTACCCAGAAACACCAGTCCTGCAGCCTGATTCAAGTTTGCACCCCCTCAGAATTTCAAAAGGCATGCAAAATACTCTTCCAATACTGTCAAGCCGTTTGGGGGGAAAGCCTGCAGGTAAGGAGAAGGCAGAAGCGAGGGACTTTCTGCCCCCAGACTGGAGGGCAAAGCTCAGGGGAGAGCTGTAGCAGAGCTGGGAAGAGAATAAACAGCAACATCCCAATTGCTCACATATATTATTTTTTTTTAAACTCATCAAACTGCTTTGTTATAGGAGCTAGGACAGGTAAATCTGTCAGAAACCCTAGTTTTAAGTGCTGTCATGCCTCATTTAGCACGTAATTTTAATCACTCCAAGTGAGTTCTTGAAACAAAAAACCTGATTCAAGAATATCACTGTGCTCCTCAGCAGAGACACAGAAACCTTCACAAACACTTGTAGCGGTGGCCCCGTTTCGCTCTGGTGCCTCCAAAGTAGAAGATCATTTCAAGGATTAGATGAAGCTCAAGAGAGTGTGCTGCTGCAAAGCAAAAGTGCTGCTCAGCCTGGAAGGACTCACAGGGTAATTTGGGTGAATTCTCCTCATCCTCCTGGAGCGGGAAATCTCTCCCTAAACGCCTTTGTTTTCTACTGGGCAGGAAAGCAGGGAGTGTGGAGGAGGAGGTGACTCCATTTGTTGCTTTTAATACCCCAGTCTCAAGGACAGCCAGAACTGATACTTGGAGAATAAATGTCTCTGTTTAGCAAACCAAACTACACTTCTTTAGCATAAGCAGAGTGGCATTTAAATGTTACTAGAAGTCCATCTGAGAGGCTGAGGGAGCTGGGGTTGTTCAGCCTGCAGAAGAGAAGGCTCCAGGGAGACCTTAGAGCAGCCTTCCAATATCTAAAGGGGCTACAGGAGAGATGGGGAGGGACTCTTTGTCAGGGAGTGCAGTGACAGGACAAGGGGTAATGGTTTTAAACTGAAAGAGGGGAGATTTAGGTTAGATATTGGGAAGAAATTCTTTGCTGTGAGGGTGGTGAGACCCTGGCCCAGGTTGCCCAGAGAAGCTGTGGCTGCCCCATCCCTGGAGGGGTTCAAGGCCAGGTTGGAGGGGGCTTTGAGCAACCTGGTGTGGTGGGAGGTGTCCCTGCCCAGGGCAGGGGGTGAGAACTGGATGATCTTTAAGGTCCCTTCCAACTCTAACCATTCTGTGATGCTATAATCTGCATGTTTATTGCCGATGGCTCCTTCTCCCAAGCCCCTGCAGCACTTTGCTGGCACAACCTTACTGGTGAGTGAACTGGGAGGGGATGGGAGCTGATCTCAGCTGGCCTTTTGGGAGGCAGCACAGGTTTCTCTGCTCCTGCCTGAGCCGACAGCGCCAGCTGGAGTCGTGTCCCTCGCTTTGCCCTGCGGATGCCGCGGGGCTCGGGAGCCGCTCGCTTCCTATCTCCTCTCCCAGGCACCTTTCCCTTGGAGCCAACAGGAGTTTTGCCACTCTCTTCAAAATCTTTTCTCAGAAAAATAGTGTTTCCTCGATGACTAGAGGGTACAGACATAGACCCATGTCACAAGCATTCAGCATCTATAATTTCATTTGGACCCAAGCGTCATTTCTGTCATCTGGACTTTGTTCTGGGCTACTAGGACACACACAGTTAGAGGGAGGATATGGGATGGATATATACCACTAAAAGCCTGGACTGTAAAGGGCTTTTGCAAAGGGCAGAATGGCAAATAGTTTTTTAAGGTCTGGTCTTTGATTTCATCCTCAATAATTTGTGAAGAAAAATCCCTTGTGCAAAGGAAATGTTTTTAATGCAGAACTAGAGAAACTAAAGGACTCACAACATTAGTGAATTGGGTATTGAATTCTCACAGAGCTTATTTAGTTGAGTGCTTGATATCAAATTTATGTCCATGGAGGTAACGTAAGTATATTTTTGCATATTGGATATGCCATGACAATTACATAAATATGTAAAATCAGGATGAATTACTCGTGCTGTCTCTGTGGTCGTAACTTGAACCGTGCTAAGCAAATTCTTTAAAGAAAATAAAGAGTGTTCCTAAGCATAGTGAATTTACTGACCTACCACAGCCAAACATCTGCAAGCACATCACAGGTGAAAAATCCTGTGATTTTCCTTTCTGCTGCAGCTCCGGGACACCTACTCCAAGAGCGGCGTCGCTTGTCTCACCGGGGAGGAAATGGGGAATTTCATCCAGAACCTGGATCTAACTGAAAGCGAAGACAGAGAGGCTGATCCCTGCTGGCAAGTAAAGTGGCACCTGGGAAAGTTAATTAAAAAGGTATTTGGGAACCACCACGCTGAAACAGCGTGCTTGGTGATAGTGCTATTCAAAGAATCCTACCGGCAGAATGAAGGGGGTGGTTTTATTGCTAAGGAATAGTCAGGCCATACCTTCAGCTGCAGAGGGCTTGCACTGAAGCAAAGAAAAATATTTCCTGCCATTCAGGAAATAATAAAGCAAAGACAATCAGTTTTTACTAAGCCGATTTCAGCAATAGGTTGGCTGAGCTGAAATACCTCAGGGTGGAAGTGCTTGTTTCCTACCTGACCTACACCTGACCTACACCTTTCCTACAGACCATAGTGGTAGCAGGGGTGTCACTCCCTCTTTGGGAATAGAGGGAGACTGGCATGAGAAAATGAGATGAAATGTAACGTGGGGAGAGGTAAAAAGGTCTGGTCATGGGCATTAATGAGGGGAGGAAAGAGCGAGGCGAGAGCGCACAGCACCTTCCCAGCTGAGCCTTCAGAGAACACCCTCTCCCGCCTGACTTACACACAATACATACAATTTTGGCTACAGAAAAGAAAATAAAGCCTGACTGAAAAAAAATCAGAAAGGCTAAAATCTTCTGGAATGGTTTTCAAAAGCCCATCTCTGCCACATAAAAAAAAGCTCATCCATAAAGATTCACTTCTGGCTGAAACTTACCTGGCAGATCTTGCAGCCCAGAATAGATCCTGTATTGGTATTCAGAGATCTGGTGGATGTTCTGTCAGTGAAATCCCTTTGGTGGACGTTCTGTCAGTAAAATCCCTGAACATCTGCAAAAGGAAAATACTATTTTATTTGTTGGATGGTTACACATCTAATATACCTACCAGCTCCTTGAATGCTTCAAAAAAAGATAGCCTGGGTGCCAGAAATAATAAATGGTGATAATAATAATATAGATGGATGGATAGATAGATAAATAGAAACGTGGCAGGGCAGAACCCATCAGTAAGTGGCAATACAGGTAAATCATCTCAAGCCATCAGCATGCTCCCTGCAGCTGCACCGCCGTCGGTACCCAGAGCAGTTTGTTTCAGCAAACAGTTATGAAGAAGGGGAATGCACCAAATAAGTTATCCTGGCTTAAGAGCTTAGATAGATAGATGGGAAGAGGCATAAAAATACATTAAATTTAATTTCTCAGAGCTAAGATCCCCCAGAAGTGCACGCTGCCAGGTATTCTGCAAACGGAAGCTGGTGCTTGTAATGCTCTATCTCTTCTTATTTGAGAAAAGCATGAGAGTCAAATTTTCCAATAGACTCAAAGCCCAGATGGCTGAGCACTCTCCAAAATGTTTTCCTACGTATTTCATTACAGAAAGGATGTAAACATAGGAGTGCTTTGTTACAACAAATTAATAGGCTTTTTTTGATCTGCTTGTTGATCAAATCCAGAATACCCTTTATTCATGAGTTTGAGAAGGGAGCGTTTTTTTTTCCTGCACTTCTCGGTTTCTGCCCACAAATTAATTCATTTTCTCTGTGTTTGTTGACAGATGATGGCGAGAAGCTATGAGGAAAACATATCCGCAGTCAACGGTATTATAATAGTTTTATTATCCGTGGCAAAAAAGGAGCTGCTAGTGGCACCTGATGTGTAGTGACTCAAGTAATTTTTTAAAAGTGCAGTGCTAGTGGCACCTGATGTGTAGTGACTCAATTTTTTAAAAGTGCAAAAGACACTGACTCAGATCTTGTACTGGCAGGGAGTCATCGGGGAAAAAAAGAAAAAAAAAGATTGCTTATTACTAGAAGGCAAATTTTCAGGAGCCAGAAATACGGTCAAGTGTTTAGAAGAAGGTGGATATGGAGGACTCAGCTTCTAGACCTCAGTCCCACAGTGTTACGGGGATATTTAAACATATTCTCCTGGGGACAGGCAGCACTGGGCTGCTGTACACATAGATGGGTTAAGGAATAGCTCTGCTGAAGCTCCGACAGCTCTAAATGCCTTGAGTGAGAGCATTACGACCTCCAAGGGGGAATTCAGAGTAAAGACCACAAATACTTAAAAATTACTCAGCATGAATACAGAAATTGTGTATATGAGTTATTTTAGGGTAATTTTGGGGCATGAGAGGAGGAGAAAAAAAGAGAACAAATAGGTGTATCAAGAAATCTCAAGGAGAGCAAAAGAAATTTGAGGCTTATTTGCCAATATATAGCATTCGGTCTGTGATTTAGTCAATTTAGAAAATGACATACCTATTCCTTAAAAGCACGTGGAGTGGAACAGACGTGCTTTCTGACACTCACTGAGGTCCCTTCTCTGCTCTTTCCTCAGGCGAGCGAGCCCTGACGCTGCCGCGCTCCGACGGGCAGCCTCCCCTCAACAGGATCGCGGCGCATCTGACGGGGAGCAGCGCCAGGAGGAGCCCCCTCTCCCCACGCAGTAAGGAAAAAAAACCTGGAAAACCTGTTAAAGATGGCAAAATTTACTCTCTCATGGCTAGCCTCGTGCTTGCCTACACTTTTTGATACTTGCACGGAGTTACCAGTAAGAAACAAATCATTAAAAGAGTCTTCTTGTCCCAGACAACGTTTTTTTTCAGCTAATTCTCACAGGAGAGGGAGAAGGCCCATTGCCTCTGGGTACTTCCCTAACTTTTCTTCTGGAACCCTCATTAAGGGAAAAAAAAAATAAGTATCCCTCTTTCTAACGTTAAGTTTTCCTCTTTTCTTTCCTTTAATTTCCTTCTGTTAGTTGTGTGACCAGCTGCTATGGTGACAGACCTATTAGAAATGCAAGACAGTGACAGGAGAGACTTGACATTCAGGCCATATTAATGAAAGCCCTGGTAGGGTTTCTACAGCTTTGGAGGGTTTCAGGCACAAATGGCTATTTTAACTTTGTTACTAAGTAACGACATGATGATTTTTCTCTTATTTGGGAGCACAAAAATTAAAAGTAAAGGTAGCTCATGTGAATTCCACCGTTGAGCTAAACCAAGCTAAATTTCTGGACCTTCAAATTGTTTTGAGAAGGGACATCATGAACCACTGGGAAGAGCAGGTTTCCTCACTTTGGTATTAAAAATCAAACTCCCCAAGTAGCAGACACCTGGCTTCACTACCTGGCTTTTAATTTAATGTATTTCTCTCTTTTTTTTCTCAAGTAGACTCCTTGCCCAGAAGAGGGAACGGACACAAAATAAGCAACTGGGAATCGTCGAGGAGAGGCCACTCTTTCCTCTACAACGTGGAGCTGAGAAATGGCGAGTTGGTGATCCCCCAAACGGGCTTTTATTACATCTACTCACAAATCTATTTTCGTTTCCGTGAAAACGAGAACGAGGATTCAGATTTGCTGGCACAGATCAGGAACCCCAAACAGCTCGTCCAGTACGTTTACAAACTGACTAATTACCCGGAGCCCATTTTGCTCATGAAAAGCGCAAGAACGAGCTGCTGGTCCAAAAAAGCAGAATATGGACTTTATTCCATCTACCAAGGTGGTGTGTTTCAGCTGAAAAGAGACGACAGGATTTTTGTCTCCGTCAGTAACAGTGACATAGTTGACATGGACAAAGAAGCAAGTTTTTTTGGAGCCTTTATGATCAGTTAAAAGAGGAAAATCACGCTCTAAGGGAACCAGTTTTCCTAGACAGGACCAGCATAAAATTCTATAAAATAGGGGATAATAAGCAAACACCGTAGCAAGACCGACTGTACCAGGCTCCCCTTTCTCAGCTCACTCAGCACGAGGTCCAGCCGTGCAGAATATTCACCCACCAGTGGGGAAGGGGCAGCAGCAGCTGGATGCAGCTGCAGATGGTGATGCTTTGCACGGGTACCACATCTCCCTGCCCAGCCAGGATTTCACATGCCACGGATGATACCTTTGGCCAGAACCCCTGGCAGGTAAGAGCTCGCCCCCACAGAGATGCTCCACGCCGGTGGGATGGAGGATGCTCCGGGTCCGGTGACTTGAGGCGGAGATGGGACATCAAATCTTACTCGTGGTCTCCATTGGGACCCCGTCTTGAATATCATCAGGTCCTGTAAAGAGCCATTAGCAAATTCTGCTTCCCAGGCCCCCATGGAATTACTCCAGGAGTTTTTTTTGTTTGAACCTGAGTTTTACACACGTTGAAAGGCCATCAGAAACTCAAACTGCACGTCTTCATCTCATCTAATAAAGCACTTAAGCGCCTAATTAATTTTAAGCACACGAACAGTCTGGATGAATCAGGGTATTTACATGCTTGAAATTAAATATGTGCTTAAGCATTTTTATTTTTTTTTTTTCAGCATCATGGCTTGAGTAAACACATTAGTCTGTCTTAATCAGGATATTGTACATAAAACCAGCTGCTGAAATGGCACAGAAGAGGTTTTTGAAATCAATCAGTATTTTGGATCAGCACATTATGATAGTGCCTATTTACTTAATTGCTGTGCTGCAAAGATTTCACCAGGTTTCCAACAGGTTCAGTAATGTGGTTGCTGTTACAGTTGTTGACAGCAAGTACTTCATCCAGAAAAAAAAGGTGCTTTTCTGTAAATACTGAATTCAGTTAGACATTTGCCACAAATTAAGCATGCCACGCTTCTTCCATGTTTATTTGTACTGGCCTGTATTTGGTAGGGTGTAATGCAGAACAACACACCCCCATGACTAATATTTTAAGGAAAACATACACCACTATCTGTACTTAAACAAGAGCTGCAGTTTGGGTAATACTGATTAGATTTTTGTTTTATATTTAGGAATGGGTGGAAATTTTTCATAATTTTTGTTTAAACCATAACTATTTTTTTTTAAATGGCAACTATATTTTTTAACTCTTTGAGTGGGTCTATTTTATAGTTACAAAAAAAAGGAAAAAAAAAAAAAAAGATTTGTAAGCGTAAGCTGTGTGGGCTATATCCTCCACATACATCAGGTAGCATTAATCAGCACAACCACAACATCATCAGAGGACATTTGCACCATGAGTGCATTTTGCCCACGTTCAGAGAAAACAGTGGGGAAAAGAAGGTGATAGTGGAAAAAAAAAAAAAATTAGTGGGGAAAAGAAGGTGAAAGTGGAAAAAAAAAAATTAGAGGGGAAAGGAAGACAGTTGTTCTGCAAATGTTACTTTGCATCAGCAGAATGATGCCAGGAGAAAATCTGCTTCTCCTTTTTTTTAATGCACTAAGGTTGCCGTGGGAACCCTCCCCTTCACCTCCGCACTCTGGTAATTAAATCACTGCACAGCCCTTGCTTATGGGCCTCGTGAGTAAACACGCATCATTGATCTTACTACTTTATCAACGAGAGGAAATGAATAGACACAAGCACCTGCATTTATTCTGTCATTCAGAAAAGCAGGTTCGTTGGTACACTTAAATACCTGTGTTTGAGCAGCAAGAGAAGAATTTCAGAAATATCCTCCTTTTGACCGGTTGGAGCAAAAAAACCACACTGCTATAAGCCTAAAATATGAAGTTTTAACTTTTTTTTCTGCTGTTTTAACATAGCACCACATAAACTGTTCTCAGTGGTAATCAAATATGTGAAATTCTCCCTCGTTTCCTGGAACACTTGGGTTTGCCTCATTCTCAAATCATTTGCTTCAACAGAGAACAGGAAATACTTCTACAGTTTTCTTTCTGATTTCTGTATTTAATTCAGAAATTTTCTGCCTGCCAGAAAAGACTTGGGAGAACAAAGCCATTCCCTCTGTATCTGGATGTCTCCTATGTTGGACTTACTACTTTTGTAAGTTCTCCTTGCAAATGGACCAGGCTTTTTGACCTTGACCCATGTTATGAGGTTTGGGGGGGGGATTTTTAGCAGTTTCTTATATTAAAAAGTTTGTGGTTTCTTTTTAGAACTGTTATTTTAGGAGCTAATTTGGAAAAAAAAAAATTAGTTGAACTGTGAAAAAGTATTTCAGATTTGCTGGTGACAGTGTAGAGTCAGAAACCCTTCCTTACAGCCAGGAACCCATTTGTGAGTAGGACTCATGGCTGCGAGGAAGGGCTGGAAGGAAACTGGGGGAGTCTCCACAAACTTGCAGCTGACACTCAAACTGTCTATTACTCACAGATATTATTTTTTTCTCTATGTTCTCTCCTCAACTCTCAATATATAACACCGTGCCGGCTGTCACTTGAGGAATGCTCCCTGGCATCGTGGTCTTTTTTTATCTAAATGTACATATTCTTGATTTCTGCATGCAGGGTGTATCTCAGCAGGGAGCACACCCAATAATGATATTTTATTTCTGAATAATCCGAAGGCATGCTTGCCAGGTGTTCTCTTGGGGAGAGGTTATCAAGGAATATCAGAATGGACACATTTGAAGAAGAATGGAAAGACAAAGCAAGTTCTGTTTGTACATTTGCACCCTGGACCACAGTTTTCATCTCACTTCACGTTGAACAGCGAATGTAGCAGATTTTTATTTGTGGATGTAAGTTGTGGAAACATGTAAATATTGTAATTTTTCTACAGGCATTTTGTATAAAACAGTTTTACTAAATAGTTCTTTAGTCTTGCAGTGGTTATTGGTTCTGTCCTACACCTTCCATAACAACAAGCTGGTCTGAAATAATTCCTCTGACACTGGTTGGTATCAGTTATAATCCATCAAATGCCACAAATGTTTGCAATGCAAGGGACATCATGCAAGCCATTGAGCTGTTCCATATTGTATAATACAACAGAATTGGCTTCCAGGCCCTGGTTGGAGAACAGCACCTGGAAGCAGTAGAGATGGAAGAAAACACCGAAAATGATCTCATGACCCTGAGCACTTCCCTTCAGGTCCCTCTCATGTTTGAGCATGAGCATACGTAAGCATTGGGAAGTTTATTTCATATGGAAACATCTAGTTCTTGCCCATCACCAAGCTGCAGTAGAAGATCTATTGGATTCAGAGGGATAAGGACCATTTGCACAGGTGTTGGAAAGCAGCCATAAACTGGAGGTCTCCTAGTAAGGTTGAAAACAAATACACTCCCTGCCCCCAGAGCAAACATGGGATACAGTGTGGTCTGTCCACTCCACTACCAAAATTTGCCCCACCAGAGAAGGGTACAAAACCCAAGTGAACCCTGGAAACTCAACAAGACATGAAGGAATCATCTAACCTGAGCCCAGCCCTGAGATGGGAGAGGGTTTGTGTGTCCACGGCTGGAGCAGCAGCACCCTGCCACAGCAGGGAAACCGGTTGCTCCAGGAGGGAAAAAACCCTTGGAAAATTGCCCCCACCTTAGCCACCCCCAGGAGCTGTTACACCTCTGGGTGTCTCCTTTGACCATCACCCCTTGGCACCTCCCGATATTGACTCATTCTCACTGTAGAGGGTTCTGGCAGGACCCCACGTGGCTGTTCTACATCTACTTGATTAACAAAAAGGATGCTTGCCTCCCCGATGGACTCAAAACTTAAATGCATTTAGCCCTGTGTTTGTTTTAGGCTTTCTTTGGCATGGTTGGAGCATGCCTCACGCCTCGTCCTCAGAGGAGTAGATCTGTGTGATCACCTCTCCCCACCACCACCAAGCCCTACTGGAACCAGTATACCATCCCTGGGGAGGAGCAACCCCCACGGCCCCAAATGGCAGGGATGCCCCCAGGTTTCGACAAGAAATTATTCCTGTCTTAGAGGATGCTTTTGTTTCAGCAGAGGGTTCTCTCTTTCCCGGTGTTTCCATGGGAAAGAAGACATGCCAGCTCACTGGCTTTTATTGTACCTTTCATTACTTCATGGAAACAGACTGCTATTTTTTGCCCGAGTAAATGTAACTATTATTGTTGGTATTGAGGCACTCTTCACTGCCCAAGCAGGAGCAGGGATACATTTGCTGGGCTCCCTGCAAACGGTTAAAAAGCCTGATTCAGACACTGAGATTTTTTGAGGTTCGTAATTTTCGTTTACAGATTACATCTAAATATTAGTGTCTGAGAAAAGGCTGAAGTAATGATCAGTATGACACAAATAAAGCACACTGAGACAAGATCTCATTCATCCCTCCGAGGCACCTTCTGCCACTCAGCAGCAGAAACAGAGGACAGATTAGGATGTTGTTGGATCTGATCCAATTGTCACAGGTTGGGTGGGTTTTTTTTCACATAGAGTTACATGGAAGCTTGTAGCAATTTTCATCGGAATTATCCAAAATATGCTTCTCCATAACTTTCCTCTGTATGAACAGACTGAAATTGCACGCTGTATCACGTGTTAAAAAAAAAAAATCATTCATTTTCCTCTGATTACAGTTAACTGCCTGGCCACACATCACTGCTGCTTTGTAACACCATGGCTCTCCCTGAGACATTCATCATCCAAACCTACATAGACATTTCCATTCATTTCTTCTGAATGTTTTAGAGGTGACATCGAATTGGGACTCTGAATCATGACAGAAATGCCACCAAGCAGCTCGTGGTCAGTGAGACGGGGCTGCACCTTATGGCAGAAGCCTGTTGGTTTAAGCAGCTTCTCATTTTTATGGGCTCTTCTACCAGAGTTAATCTAAATCCCACTCCTTGTCTTTGATGCACATCATACTTTTGCTCTGAACACATCATGTACAATCACAGCGTCAGAAAACATCAGAGAATTAAAAGTTGTCCAAACTGCCTTTCAGAAACTAGCCATTTAAACCCAATCAAACCCGAGGCACAAATTCCTCCTCAAGATACTTTTGAGTTTGTCTGAGTGTGAATTCTTCAGCTCACATTAATCATATGTAGCTCGTGTAACTACTGGGTGAAGATAAAGTGGATTAATGGCAGGTTTGCCGGTGAATGGAGCCAAGTCATCACTCCCCGTTTAACAGGAGACAGACGTATCAACAAGAAAGCATGACTGGCAATAATTAACTCTGCAATCCCATCCTGGCACTAAGAGAACTCAAATCATAATGGATATTAATAAACACATGTAGGTCAGGATGAACATCTCAACCTGCAGATCTTCTTCAGAAAGAGTGTCCAATGATACTCAAAAAACGCAGGCTACGTCTTCTACTACTGTCATGCTAGAAATTATTCCATAAACACTCTGTACTTTTAGCCCAGAGTAAACGTACCTGTGATGGATGAACATGTTCCCTCTCCACTTGGTGACCAAGTCAAAGGAAGAGGGACGTTAATGCCCGGAGTGTGACCTCGCGGCACGACGAGCTGGGGGACGGCGAGAAGCCACGTCTGAAACGGATGCTGCTGAATTAGAGCACAGCTTTGCCAATTAATAAACTGGCACTGTTTAGAAGCCTGCTTCCAGATGTTTACTGCCATATAAACAACTGCAAAACCATTTGAGCACATTCTGGGCTTAACGTTATTAACTTGGATTACCACTATTTCATCAGCGCTACTCGCTGATGATAGTTGCTGTAACCTTTGAAAGCACACACCAGATGCTACCTTCTGTTCTTAAAATACATTTATAATAAAAGTCAAAACATCTTCTGCCCCCAGATATAATAAAAAACCCTGCATTTGCTTTTCTGCAAATTGTTGGAGCTGCATCATTTTTAAATGGGAGATCTCTCCCCTGAATCCTGTTTTCCACTTTCTTCATCTCTCCACAATAAAACCATAATCTTTCTATACTCAAAGCCTTCAGATATTTCCATGACAACAAACAATGATATAAACAAGAATTAAAACTTTATTGGATGAGAAGAAAATGGAAAGAATGGAACATAGGAGAGAGATTTTAAAACTCCATAAATAGAAGCTCTCGTCTACCTTATCTCCAGTGCCCACCACAGCTTTAATGCTGCCAAAGAGAAGCACTAATATTTTAAGAGTCCCATGAAAGGCTAATGTCCATTATAATGTTTTTTTTTTTTAAATTATTTTTTGAATATCTATTCTGTTCATACACCCAGTTAGTGGACAAAACTGTGAATAAAAAGTACTTAGTTTCTGCCTCTTTCTCTCCATTTCTCTCATTCCAATAACATCAGTGACTTCGATCTTTTCTGCAGTTGTTAGGGCAACATAGAAGCACTGGTCTTGCAGCTGAGGGCAAGTAGATAACTTTCTGGAGCCTAAAGCCATCTTCTCTCACAGCTCTTACATCTTCTGTCCCCACTATCAACCACTGTTGTTCAGCACATGCAAAAGCAGAGGCAGGAATTCATTATCGTGCAACACTTATGGGATGTCAACTCTTTATATCCCATCAAAATTCAATTGAAATTGCCAAAAAAACCAGAAAGAATCGGAAAACTGGAGCTGCTTTTCTTTTCTCTCAGCTGAGAAGCAGCTTTATTTCTGGCCCTGACCCCACGAAGGAGAAGCAGCCAGAGAAACCCTTGACTCATGATACCCTTGAAACAAGAAGGGGATTGATGCTGCTGGATTCAAAGCACAACTGCCATTTCTGATCCGAGCAGCTCATCGCTCAGCACATCAAACTCCCAATGAACTAAGTGTTAATTCATTGCGTTACAACCTCAAGCCATCTGGAGTACATAAATCTGGTCCTACCTCACTTTTGGCTACTCGATTTTGCTACACCGACCTCAGTTCAAGTGTTCTTTTAAAAGGAATATATTTTTTTTTCTGAAAAAAAAATTAAAGAAAGCTTTTCTCTCCCTGGGGAAAGGGAAATGGTCATTTTTGACAAGATACAGCTCAGCAAAAACTGGAAGAATTTCATGAGAATGAAGGATGCTCTCTACGCAGAAAAGTCACATTTATAGCTTAGGCCATTCTGTCTGCCAAATATCAACATCCTGCAGTTAATGCCACTGGTCTGAGAATTCATCAGGGAGAGGGGGAAAAGAAGTGAAACAATCCTTTACAATAATACAAAGTATTTGGCAGCCTAAATACGGAGGCAGTTTCCAGCTCCTCGATAATATTATGCAATGAAATTTAAATTAGATGGGACACAAAACCACAATATGAAATAACTGTACATTGGTTGCGTAGGGCCCGTGATTCTTCTTCAGAAACACATAAAACAATTATATAGGCAGCTGGATAAACAAAGCGAGAAGCACGTTAGGCTCTTTCTTCTTTTCAACTGAAATTAATGTGTAGTCACCCCCCATAAAATTTAGGAACTGTTGAATAACTTGCTACAAAACTGTCTCACGGTTCAAGAGCGGGAATGATGAATATCAAGGAAACTGCACAAATATATCATCCAAATTAGGGTAGGGACAAGGCACTAAGGCTAATGCTTGCGTTATAATGGGAAGTGCTCAGGTGGAAACAGGCTCGTTGGGAGGCACAGGCAGAGTAACAGGGTCACACCACACTTGTCCTCTCGTCCTTAAATAAAGCTCTGCAGCAATGAAATAGTGCTTGCAGATGGTGGACACGCCGTATGTGAGCACACCCTGGAGAAACATCACCAAATGGTTCCTCAGATGAATGAACCTCGACGCCAACGTGGCTTTGGAGCACCAGTTGCCCCCCGAGAGGTGGGGTACAAGGGAAGGGGTGCAGCCCCTCTAGATAGAAAGAGAGGGGTGAAAAAAAAAGCATACCCTGTCACTTTGCAGGGATGAGTTGGAAAGGAGGTGAGATACCATCTTTACAAGTGTCCTGGAGGTCACTTCACCGTCCCTCATCTCACCTTGTGCTGCTCCCATCTTACTGCTCCCTGGGTACCACCTCATCCTTTCAGGCAGGAGCCTGCAGCCGGGGGGAGCAGGGGTATAAGGTGGGGGGGTCTGCAAAGGGCAGGATGGCCGAAATGTGCTGGACCAAAATCTAATTGTAGGGAAATCACACAGAAGAGGGCAATCACTGCGGCTTCACTGGGCTGGAGCCTTCGTGGGCTCCTGCCAAGATCCAAGGACAGAGCAAAGATGCAGAAGGAGGGGACCAGCCTTTACAGCCCCCCCCTCACCCCCCATCCCCGGGTTTTCTACCCCC